GGAAGAGTTAAGATGAAGCAACATTGCTCTATTTCAGGGAAGCCTGCAAGTCAGGGTCACGTGGATATTTCTAGCTGTGGAGCCTTGGCCCAAGGTCATTTGAGACACTCAGCTCTCCAGCTGGGTCATACCCACAAAGAATGTTTCTCTTTGGAAAAATTTCATCCTTGTGGGCTCTCTGTCCCTCAGCCTTGCCCAATCACCTATAATTCTAAGACCTTTAGCCAGCAGGACACATGTTAGAGTTGAGGCTGTAGCTTGTGTGAACTACCTTCCTTCCTTTCACCACCTCCACTCAATTAGAAACAGTCACATAATTCTTCATATCATGACTAATGTGAAAATGTTTAATATGAATGTATAAGTAGAGTCTATATCAGATTGCATGCTGTCTTGGGGACAGAGAAGGGGAAGAAAATTTAAAACTCAAAATCTTATGGAAGTGAATGTTGAAAACTAAAAATAGATTAATTACAAAAAAAGTAAAAAAAAATAAAGTCACAGCAAAAGAACAGTCTGGGTTGGGCTTGCCTTTCTTACAGTCTTGTCCTTGAAAGTAGCTCTTTCCCTAACAGAACATAAAACTATTAAGTCAGAGACATAGGTAGGTTTCACCTTCTTCATCCATAAAATAATCAGGTTAGATTAGATTAAGGGCTCTTAACCTTTCTGTGTATCAAGGAACCCCTAACAAGTCTGGTGGAGCCTATGGACCCCTTCTTGGAATCATGTTTTTAAATACATAAAATAAAATAGAGGATTACAAAGGAAGCCAATTATATTGACATAATTATCAAAATAATAAAAGTTAATGGATCCTAGGCTAGGAACCTCTGGCCTAGATACACCTGAAGGCTCTTTCCAACTCTAAATCCTATGATGTTATGAGTTACTTTCCTCCCTGTTAAACCCACGGAGGTTCTATGAGGCTCTGAAGAGTGCACAGATACCTGGAAGGCACAGTAAAGATAATGAATTATACTGTTCCCCCCAAAAGCAAGAGACCAACAAAGGACCCAGGTAGAAGTACTGTATCCCTGCTTTCCAACCACTCCCTGTCCCAAGCCCTGAATTCAGTTGCTGGAGAAATGACTCATTTGAGGATCACAGATTGAGAGTTAGAAAGGACCTTCAAAGGAGTCTAGTCCAGCCCATTTAGCAGATGGTGGCCCAGAAAGGAAAGATAATGAGTTCAGTTTTGGACGTGTTGAGTTTGAGATGTCTGCTGGACATCCAGTTCGAGTTGTCCAATAGGAAGTTAGTGATGTGAAATAGGAGGTTGGGAGAGAAGTTAGGGCTGGATAAATAGATCTAAGAATCCTATGTAAAGAGATTACAATTGGATCTATGGAAGTTGAGACCACCAAGCAACAGAGTATGCAGAGGAGAGGAACCTGTGGTCTTGAGGCCACATGTGGCCCTCTAGGTCCTTGGGGGTAGCCTTTTGACTGAATCCAAGTTTTACAGAACAAATGCTTTTATTATGCGGATATAGGGCTGCACTTGGGGACCTAGAGGGCCACATGTGGCTTTGAGGCCACAGGTTCCCCACCCCTGTAAAGAGAGAGTATAGAGGGGGCAGCTAGGTGACACAGTGGATGGAGCTCTAGCCTTGGAGTCAGGAGGACCCAAGTTCAAATGTGGCCTCAGACACTTACTAACTGTGTGACCCTGGGCAAGTCACTTAACCCCAACTGCCTCAACCGAAAAAAAGTAGAGTGCTGTCAGTAGTCAGTGCAGAAGTGAAGGCCTGGGAAAGATCTTAAGGGTGGAGGGATTGGAGATCATGTTCATGAGGATGAACAGAGCTAGGAATCATATGGCAAGAGATGGAAGGATAAAAGATTATAATCTGACAAAACAATTTTAGCCTTCATGAACACAGAACACTTATGGTAATGGCAAGATCAACAGTATGGCCATCTCTGGGAGCTAGGGTGAAGGAGTAGGTCTTGGTAATTGAATACATTCAAGAACCTGGAAGTAAAGTTGTTTGAGGGAGTATCAATATGTATTTTGAATTCTCCTAGTAAAAGGGAGAGAAAGACTGAGTCAAGGACTGAACTCATTGAGGAAGGAAAGAGAGTATCGTAGGGATCAGCGATAATAACCACTAACAGCATCTTGACTGGGTGAAAAATTTAGATTCAATGAACCTCGAAGGAGAAGATGTGGCTATGTGATGACGGTAGAGGGAGATTCTAGAAGAGGCAATAGGGAGCTATGAGTATTCTAATCCCACCATTACAACTAGTCAGGTAAGGATGTGAGAAAAAGTGCAACTAGTACTGGAAAGTGGATAGGGATGCAGTGCCACCGAGGGGGAGTCAGCTCTCAATGAGAGCCAGAAGATGGGAGGAATGTAAAAGTAGAAGTTTTAAGGAAAAAACCCCACAAAATTGTTAAGCATTGAGCGGGCATCCTGGAGAATACAGTGTTAGGGGTGGGTAGATCTGGAGTGGGACATTTGTGGGATAGGGAATAGGGAAGTAGTGAATGAGGGTTGTACAATAACAGCTGGGGGTTCAGAAGCACTGGGATGGGAAGAGTATGACCAGGGTGGGATTATGCTAACCATTGAGAAATGAGTCTACGCCAAGTTATCTGTAGAGAGGCAGGCTATTAAACTGTTCAAGGTCCTCCCTAGAGATCCAGTCTCCAAGAAGGAGATGATAGTGTCTGTTAACACCCAGGAGGCCTGAATCTCACAACCGGCAGGAGCAAGCAAAGGTATGGCTCAGGAGAGACCAGACTAGAGGCTGGGGCTGACAATTCCGGATAGGTATGATTCAGAAAGCCTTCAGAGTATTGGAGAAGACTAAGGCAAAGACAGATGCTACAATATGGTGGCTTGGATCTGGAGCTGCGGTGAGGATTCCCAGGAAGGCTCTGAAAGGAAAGGGCCACAGGCAGAGACCTTGCTTTTAAGGCCCCCCATAATCTGCCTCCAACACAGTTCTCTAAACTTATTTCAGTAAGAGGAGTGCCTCAGTGAGACTTCAACAAAAACTCAAGGTCTACAGGGACTATAAGACTGGGACATTGAAATTTAAAGGGGTAAAAACTATAGGAAACCAGAGGCTTCAGTCTGCATTTAAAGAACTGGCACCTCTTCATCCCTACATAAGGTTCCCAAAGAATTATGGGAGATGAAAATGGCTGAATGGAATCTAATAACCCTAAAGCAAAATGGAATGGCTCAGACCAAAGGGGACTTTTTTGAGATGGTAAGAATTTGACTAGTTTTGTTAGGCGAAACAAGCCTACTGCTATCACTTGCCTGGGGGTGAAAAATAACCTTAGAGCAGATCCTAAGTTAAGAGTTACTGGCTTAGCTAAAAGAGCTCTCTCCCTAAAGTAGTTTGCATTCTTCAGTTATGCAAACATTAGGTTAATGTGTTGAATTCCTTCTTGCTCTTTCTTATATAGCTCATACTGCTGAGACTTTTCTAAAACACGATATCCCAAATTAAACAGAACACTAATGGTTTGTTGATGGCCCAGCATCCTTACTTATCCATTTACAATGACTCCTATATTCCTTTCCAGAGCCAAAATGAGTATCCCAGAGTCCACTTTAGGTCTAATTTTTCTTTCATAAGAAGTGTTGTACACCTGAGCAAAATCTTCTATAGTTTAACTTCTGGGCCATTGCCAGTCCTCTTGACTTATGTCTTGCTACTGGACTCCAATGACTTGGGAGAGAGTGAGGCTGATGACTTTGCACAGCTCTGCCTCACTTAAATCCAACTCACTTGCAGGTCAAGACATCCTCCTCCTGATGTCATTGGTCCTCTTCAAGAATGAAGGACAAACAAATCTATAGTTTGACCCCATTATCTTGTCTCATCACAAATTGAAATCTTCTGATGAAGAATCTGAAGTTCAAAGAGGGGAAGGCACTTTCCAGGGTCATGAAATTCCTAAATGTTGAAGGCAGGATTAAAATTCAGCTCTTCTGAGTCCCAAGTCCAGTACTCTTCCAATTTTACTGCTTCGTAATTTATTAAGAGTCTGTTTACAATCCATGTTATTTTTTCCTTAACTCTAGGCCAGTTATCCATCCGACAATTCTAAGTAAAAAGAAGAGCAATACTTGCCTATGTCATCCTTGGTACTGAGTCATGTGGACTGTATCCCTAAAGAGGGTAGAACGTCTGGAGAACAAAGTTTGACTGCCAAATTCCTTTAAATTTTCTTCTGGAATAAATAAAATTTGTTATATTCAATGTGAGTAGCCTGAGCACTTGTATGGGAACACAGGGCCTTTTTACTTTTGGTGGGAAGATCTACTCATAAGTCAGAATCCCCTCTATAAACTCTAAATAGGGACAGGAATCTTACTTAAAAGCTCCTCAGATAGTCCATAATTTAGGGAATGAGGCACATTGTAATTGCAATTAGCTAGAACTCCAGCACAGTGGTTACTAGCAACATGTTAAGCATTTTTCCTAACAGTTTTTCCAATTTCAGCCTTTAATTCCTTCAGAACCTGGGATATGTTTAGTTCCTATATTGTCTTGTGTACTAAGTACTATGGTATTGAATACCTCCAATCTCTTTCTCTTTGGAAAGAAATTAAATTTACTCAATTGCTTCCTCAGTTCCTTTTTACATCACTATTGTTTCATCTGTAAAACAAGAAAACCTCTTATTTATCCCTAGTGACACTGAGAAGACAAAGGAATACGATCACAAACTAAACAGAATCATTCAGAGAACATTTCAATGTTCCTATTACATTCCACTGAATTTGTTTGGATTCCTTTTAATTAGCAAGAATGCCTGCTGGACCCCTATGACTTTTCCTTTATCCTCGAGTATTTTTGTATATTCTACTTTTAGGACCTAACATGCAAAAAATAATCTGATAACTGTACCATAAATTCCTTCTTTAGATACTCTCAACTTTATCGAGCTACTAGTTCTAGAACCCCAAAGAAAGGTAACAAATCAATTGCATGTCAATCCCAACAAAAACGAGGCAGAAAGATTTGGGTTATAGGTTGTTTATTTCCACAGCCTGCAAGAGTCTATTAATGCTGGCTTAGCTGATATAGCCCAAGTCTGACCTTCCCACTCCTGTAACTTGGGCAATTATCAGTCCATACAAAACCAGGTTGGGGACCAAGCCAAAGAGTGTGTGTGTGTGGGGACATCTCCCCCTTCCCATCATACATTTTTTCCAACAAGATTGCTCTACATTTAAATGCAATTCCCAAACCCAAAACATAGCAGCAACCAGTCACCAACATCACTGATTCTCATGCTACCCTTCCACTCCTACTTCCCTTTTTTTGGAAGGAAGGCGAAGGCAATATTTGTGTTTGAGGAAACCTGGCTGTACCCCAATAGAGCCAGAGATGGGTATGAGGACTGCTACCTGTAGTGTAGGATAGCTAAAAGATTTACTACACACAAGAGCAGATACCAGAACAGTTTTCTTTCTGGCACGTCAAGATCTGCACTAACTCCGATCACAGGGGTCCTTTAAGGCCCCACTTTCATAGGACTAGATGAGAGGGTGACTGGAGATAAATTTACCACCCCCTCCCCCTCAAATTTAAACATGATAACCCAGAAAGTTTCACCTTCAGGATCCACCAGGCTCCCTCCTGAGAAACATGTTCTGTATGGTCAATTCCACACCAACTCCCAACCTTCTTCTTAATGCCCAGAGCCTTTGTCCCCCCCCTACTCCCCCCAAAACTGCAGGCAGTTCCTCTAACACTGATTTGATACCTCATGGTCCATGAAATGGGACTGTTAAAAAAACTTTTTAAAAAGCACCAACCTGAAGCTCAGAAAACTCTTCAGCCTTGGAACAGATCAAAAGGAAAAGCTTTTCAATGGTATCATGAAGGTAATAAGAGTGGAACACACCCAAATTAAAGAACTCTTACCTTAGAGAGGTTTATTTTCTCCCCCTTCCCACCCACCCCCGGAATATGGATGCTACATGTCCTAACACTGATCTGGGATCAACCCAGCTGAGGCTGCCTGAAGTGCTTTCTTGATTGTAACTTCTGTCCCAGCAAGGTGTCCAGGAATGGCAGGGCAGGGGGCATCTATCAAATAGGCCCCACTGCTCTAAGATAAACGGTAAAAACCCAGTTCTATGTAGACAGCAGAGCTGAAGGGACAGTCACTAAAGCTTGTGGCTTTGGGAGTCTCCAACAGTAGTCACAGAGTTTAGCACAAGGCTACAGTCAAGTCTGACACTCACTTACCATCTTGATGACAGAGCTCCATATCACTCTTGGTTTGAAGCAACCTCCAGGACTACTTATGACCTCCTGGGGTTTAGAAAGCTACTTCATCTTCTCATTTCCTGTCTCATCACTAACCAAACCAGTCTGTAACTAGTATTTTCTCTTTTCTTTAAAAAAACAAAACAAAACAAAACACAAAAAAACGAAACTAAAAATAGACTCTGGGTCCAAGGCAGTTCCTAGAATAATACTCCACTTGGAAAGGCAGTATTTTGACCTAATGATCCAGGAGTTAAAAAAATAAAGTGATTGACAAGGTTGAATAAATTAACACATAGGAGTTGTACACAATAGAGATCCTTTCTCCTCAGATTGTCTTTGGTATTTGGTCAGTAGCACCTTTGTGTGCAACAATTCCCTTCGTTCCCACCCCTTGACCCCTACCCCTCAAACCCAGTATTTCCTTGTGACTGCCACAGATTAGCTGCACAGGAGGGAGATAGCCAAAGTCACTTAGGGAAGAAGCCATTTGAGGTACAAATCTGACTCCTAGGGGCCGGCCTTAGGCAACCTCAGTGCCATCAATTTTATCCGAGTCGATATAAGTTCCTAGTAAGCTCCACGAGGTAACTTAAGGTAGCAGCAAACCATCTTTCCCCCCACCCTCCCACAGCATTCCTGGTCTCTGCCAAAGGAAAGCTTTTCCCATCAAAGTATCTTAAAAAGTTCCAAAGGTACAGCAAGAGAGTCAACAGGATAATGCCAGGAAGCAGAGGCTCTCATAATCGAGACCAAAGTGATGATGGTCAGCAAGTATGTGGAGCAGCGGGCTTGCAGACGTAGCCAGGAACACCTATCCAGCTGGCCCCTTTCCTCAGGCTTCTCTGGAAACGGAGTTCTCTGGCTGCTCTCCAAGGAGCCCCACCCTCAGAGCTTCTTTAGGCGACTGTACATTTCTCTTTTGCTTTTCTCCCCTGCCCATGTCCGGCTCTTGGTGCGAAATTTCTTCAGGTCTTCCTTAAAATCTTCATGGTGCATGGGACGGTAGCTTGGGGGCTCACAATATGACTGGCAAGAGAGAAAAGGACATACCCAGTATTGGACTCAACTTCACATGCACGGGGACAAATTATTGTTCTTCACAATACCTAGGCACAGCGCTCTACACAACAAGATATGGGACTGAGGCAGTATTTGTAGAACTGGGGTCTGTTTGCCCAAAGGGACACCCCACCACATCTCTTCCTCCCCATGTCAAGATTCAAGGCTGGGATATACAGGATGTGAACAGATGTTGCTTCTAACGCCTTTGGTCCCAGAACTTCATAATCTGAGGGGTCTTGGGCCTGTACGTAGTTAGAGATAAGCTAGGTCTCTTCCTCTCAAAAGGAATATCCTTGAGAGCCTAAGATAATGAGTTCTTTATACCTCATAGAGGGATGAAACACTGTCACTGACAGGTGCTGCTTAGGACAGCCTTACCTTGCACTTTAAAAAGAAGTCTTTGTACCCTCCCTTTAAGACATAAAGTTCAGGGTAGTGGAGCTTGGGGTATTCGTTATCCAGGCGGTCCCGCTCTCTGACAAATCTGCACCTGGAAAAAGAGGGGAAAACCAACAATCATTCTCTAGCACCAGAAGGCCTGATAGTTGCTTCAAAGTGCGTGTGTGTGTGTGTGTATGTGTGTGTGTGTGTATGTAAATGGAACCATACTTGAAAAATCCATCCTAGCACTAGGAAGTAGTGGAAAACGGTATGACCGACTAATATAATTAACAAAGACCATTCTGTGTCATTCCCCACCCCCACTCTGTCAAGTTGCTTAGGCCCTAAAATATCAAAAATATATTTGCTGTGCCGCCTAATGACTCTCAGACCCTAAATGTGCCTCTCACTTGACAACTTCAGTTGCACTGCCTACATTTTAAGGCATAAGTAATAAGACAAGGATTTTGGGAAGCCTTCTGTAGGCTTTTGATATTCATAAGAAATGCTATCTGAGATATCAATTAGGGTTGGTTAGTGCCAGTTTACCAGATATTCAAATATACCCATCCTCTACATATCTAAATGAAGTACCAAAAGTGTGGATGTGGAAAGTGTTGGGAATAAGACCTCAAGAATAATGATATAACATACAATATTATACATAGCATTATATATACATATAAGGAATAAGGGCCTCAAATGTGGAAATGGCTATCTTCTAGGAATTCTCTGCTTAACTTTGAGCAAGCTCTAGTTCTACAGATAAAATGACATAATCCCATAGGGGCCCTAGTACAATCTAATACTGAAAAAGAATTCCATCTACCATTTCTCTAGGCAGCCTGTTCCAATTATGGAGAGCCTTAACTGTTTATAAATGTCACTTCTTTAAATAAACAAAGCCAGCAACATTCTTAAAAGTTCAGTCTATGAAGAAAAAAAATCTTCATTTTGTGCCCGAGAGACAGTGCCTAGTTACTTACATTCGGGGGCCTCGCTCTGAAGAAAATTCGCAGTGGAAAACAACAATGACACGTTTGCCATCTGTTGGCCTGATGGGTTTCTTTAGCAAGAAGGCTTCTACCTCTTCTTCCATGTGTAAGTTCACTGCACCCTAGAAAGAAGTCAACAAACTCATGAAGCCAAAGAAGGAGCTGCTAAGGATCCCTATGACTCCATTTCCTGGTCAGACTAGAAGCAAAAGCCTTTTGGAGGCATAACTTGCCAAGTATCTCCTTCTTCCACTCAGCGGATTTCACCAATTTCCAAACCACAGCTGCCCCCACTTATACTGCCAACTGACCTAATAAGACTGGGCAAAATGGCTCAGAATGCACTAAAGGATATAAAAATCACAAGCCAGCAAGAATAGGAAATTCAGTGGAACATTTCTTAAGCACATACAATCTGCAGCGCAATTTTCTAGGTACTAGGAAATACATATATAAAAACGACACAGTTCTCTTATCCCCAGGGAACTTGCAATCTCTAGAGAAAAGGCAAACAGAGGAGATCAAATGGTGGCCCAAGACATTGGGGTAGGGCAATAGAGTAAACAGAAAACATGACTGAGGAAGGGGCTGAAGAAAAGGAAAGATATTAATAGGCAGAGATGCAAGTGAGAAGGGAATACATCTTAGCTATGGTGGGGGTATGTACCAAGGTGCAGAGGCAGAAGACTAGACAATACTGGGGAACAGTGAGTAGCATGACCTGGCAGCAACAGAACCTGTGCAAAGGGGAATGCTGTGAAGGGTCCTGGATGCTAGGCTAAGGACTTTATTTGGCAGATAATAGGTAGAGACTAAATCTTTTTTTTTTTTACCAGGAGAGTAATTAATATGCTTGGAACTGTACATTAGTAAGATTACTATGGAAGCAGCATGGGATATGGAATGGAGAATGGAGAGAATAAAAACAGGAAGGGATGAAAGGAGAAAAGTTAAGAATGATTGTGGTGTCCCTAATGGGAATAAGTAAATTAATACAGGGGCGGGCTTTTCTGGGGAGGAGAAAGAGATCAATTTGTTTTTTAAATATGTTGAGTTTGAGTATTTAAAGTGTTATCTATCTAAGGCAGATGGAGATGTGGAAATGAAGGGAGTGGCTGGTGTTAGAGCTAGACATTTATAAGTTACTGGAACCCATGTGATATTTGAAGTAGGAACGGATAAGTTTTTCAAGGAAACTTATGTTCAACTAATAATCACTTAGACTGGTGTCAGCTACCTTCCCTATAAGGTATACCAAGATACCCCCTGCTGCATGGCAGCCCTGGTTCATACCCTGATATGGCCTCCTTCGTATTCATATGGATATCTGCAATCAATGATGACAAACTCTTTAATTAGATTTGCAAACTTCCCATTCAACACAGATGCCATCTGAGGAAAGAGATTGGAGAGAGAAACAGAAAATTTAATTTTAGCTGTTTCTAGTAGTTAAAGACTCAAATGCTTTGTGTACAATTGAGTCCTTGGGAGTTACTTACTATTTCTGGAGAAATATATTTTAGATCCTCATGCTTCCCAGCAACCGTGTGGAAAAGGTAACCCTAAAACAAAAATGGAACACAAAACATTAGCCCTGCTGCTTCTGCAGACACGTGTGTGACCACTTTCCAGCTCGGCCGCTGTCATAAGGCAGATTAGTTAAGCAGCTTGTTTTTCCTTTGCTACAGGCCAGCTCTCAGCAGACCAGTCCATGAGCAGGACCTTCATGTTAATGTGTGGGCATAAAGCCTGCTCTTACTCTATGGTCAGCTATTTCAACAAGACACTACTTTTAGTGTAGGTTAGAGGTCAAAGCTTACCTATAAACCCAGAAATTACCTATTTCTGTTACCCTATAAGGCTGTATAGACACTGTTACAATTGACTTTACATCAGAGGTTCTTAACCTTTAAAGTCTGGTGAAGCCTATGGAATGTTTTTAAATGCAGAAAATAAAATACATAGAGGATCAAAAAGCAAACTACTATTGAAATATAGTTCTCACATACCAAGTTCTGGGCCCCAATTGAAGAACTCCTCAAGATAGGGCTAAAAGGTGCCTCACACATCCTCTAGACCAACTCTCTCACTTTGCAGAGCCAGCATTTGAACTCAGGTCCTCTGGCTCCAAGTTTAATGCTCTTTCTACCTTTCTGCACTGCCTCTCTCACAAGGACATTTTTACTTTTGGTAGGGGTGGGAAAACCACGGCAATTTCTTTTCTTTTTAAAAAATTCAATGTTATTTTATTTTCAGGTCCAAGTTATCTTCCTCCTACTTCTGCCCCACCCAGTGAGAAAGCAAGAAAAGCAAAAAACCTGTTACATATATGTATGTTTAATTTCTAACGGGGAGCAGATCTAGTCATTGGTATCACCCCCCCCCAGAAATGCTTGTAGTGTCACTTCCTGTTAGGACTCCCTGTTAAGTCTTCTAAAACGGCAGTCTTGCTGTAAGGGACGACTAGAATGCTAAAATGGATTAGGCTCACTAACAGTGACCTCGATTTAATGGGAAGGGAATCAGCATTTAGAGTGTCTACTATGTGTCAGGCACTGTGCCAAATGCTTTACAAGTTATATATCACTCGAGCCTCACAACAACCCTAAAATGCAGAGGTTATTTTTATCATCTTTATTCTACAGATGAGGAAACTGAGGCAAACAAGTGACTTACCCAGGGTCACACAGCTAGTAAATGTCTGAGGCAGGATTTGAACAGGTCTTCCTGACTCCAGGCACAGCTCTGCCCTGAATGCTTTTCTTCCACTCTCACTTGAACCTCTCCAAGACATCAACAAAATCTGGAAAACTGCTACCCTGTCCATTCTTTAAGATTCATCAATGTTATTCTAAGTCCAAAAATTCCTCTTTGGCACACACAAACTTAAGTGGGCTGCATTTTCCAATACCACCCTGAATTCATGAATGAAGGGCTTTTGATCCCAAGGAGTTTACCTTTGAGAAATCACCAATGAGGTCCCTCTGGTCACTGTCCAAAATGCTCTTGATAGTCTCTTCTGTGGAAGGTGACTGGGATATAGCTGGTAGCAGGCTCTATATCAAAAACACAAAGATGGAGAATGATTCCTGAGACCTAGGGCTTTTGACTTAACCCTAGAACATAGAGAAAGCATTTGTCTTTGATGTGAATGATTAGTGGACAACTTCTAATCTGAAAGACAAGCTTTTTATTTTTTGCATAACACAATTAAACTATAAATTAAAAAAAAACACCACAGTTTTTTTAATCCTTTTTTTCTAACAATCTGCAACTAAGGATTTGCTCATTAGTATTCAACGACTGTTAAAAGAGACTCTTGTACATAGTTAACAATTAATAAATATTTTCGCATTCATTTACCAGCTATTTACCAATTCCAACTATCCTGGAAAGCACTCTGGAGTTACACTAATAAGTGACTAAAACTCACATACTCTCTGATTCACACATCCCACCTGCTAGAAGATTGAAGACAGAAAGGTCACACATGCACTAAGATATTCATAGAACTTTCATGATAGCTGAGTCATAACACTCAGTATCATTCACTGGAAAAGAAGAATTCTATGGACGTTGATGGGATAAGCTGGGCCATGGCAGAACTTTGTTGTTTTGCCATCACTTCACCTTCTAGTTCCTACAAGGTTTTCTTTAAAAAATAAAATAAAATAAAATAAAGTTAGGTATGCTATTTGTAGGACTGACAATAGTCAAGGAACTATGTGGAAATCAAAAGGCCTCATAAATTAAGTTATGAGGGCATAAAATAATAGAATAGAAATGCTGTAGGAGTAAGGTAGCAACAGAAAGGCCCAGAGTCCTACACACACATATAATATAGTCCTCTATCAATACAACAATCAAACAAACCTCATTGAGTATCATTGCTTCTTCAGTAGGTTCCCCTACTGTGCTTTTCCTCTTTTTTGTGTTTTCTGGTGGGGAATCTTCAGGAGAACGTTCCAATCTCTTCAACATAGGACGGGTCATGGCGCTGGGTGCAGATGAGGATTCAAATAGCTTACACCGTTTGCCCTGAGAATGACATGTCAATTTATACATTATGCCCAAGCAAGGGTCAGAGGAATGAATGAAAAGTAGTTGGTATCTCAATGTGTAATGGATTAGCTTCCAGGGCTCTATCTTGCTGAACCCCCCCACCCTCACCCGAGAAGCTATCATGCAGGCTGGTCTATGGAGCAAGAAATGACTTTCTCCTAACTGCCCTTGATTCTAATGACCCAGAAGTAGGCCTGGTTCCTTGGTTGTTCTCCTCTCAAACTCTGTTTAAGAACCAATTTTTACAATTTTTCCCAGATTAATTGCACCAGGTTGTGGTCAAATGGTGGCCAACCAGAAAAAAAGGACAGAATTAACCAGTAGGAACTTGTAATAACATCAGGCACCAAAACTAAAATACCTTATTCATACTCTGGCAGCATCTGTCATGCTTCTACATTGTCAGGGTTATTGTGCTTTATGCTTGTTTCAAAGACCAGAAAGAAATGTAATAAATTAAATCCAACAGAAGAAGCCTATTATTATGTCTGAAGCACTGAACTGAGGCGCTGCAAATGGCCAACACAGTAAAGATAATCACGAGTCTGACAGATTCAACGACTCAAGGCTATGATCTAGCTCCATTTGAATGATGGTAAAATGCCAGGAACCATCTGTTTAGCATGGCCACAGACCCTTAGTTCTGAGTTCTTCAAGAATTTCGGTCAATAATACTATGACTTACTTGGTTTGCTGTTCTTCTCATCACGAGAGGAGCTGTCCAAAGGCTTGACATGCATGATGACGTTTCATCATCATTCTAAATGAGAAGATGTATTTAAAAAAAAATAAGAGTGATTGTAAATGGTTTGAACAGCTTAGGTGTGATTTTAAGACAATGGGTCTGAAGGAGGAAACATGCCTCTCTAAGGCATATCTACTTTTTTTTTTAAAAAGGCAATTAGGGTTAGGCGACTTGCCCAGGGTCACAACAGCTAGCAAGTGTCAAGTGTTGGTCTGAGGTCAGATTTGGACTCAGGTCCTCCTGACTTCAGGGCCAGTACTCTATTCACTGCGCCACCTAGCTGCCCCAGGCATATCTACTTTTGAGGTGGGGTGCACTGCAGGGGTCAACTGCTACATTTTGTAACAGTTAACTTGGTAGATAGAGGTCAGTAATTTCATTAGTACCATTCTAGAGACAAGCAAGCAAACAATCTATTCTTAATTATGTTCTCACTTCAAGAAGCCTCTAAAAATAACTACACTATAGTTTTGGTCTTCAGCACTGTGATCCATCCTTTTAACTCAGGCCTAGTGGAGTCTTGTTGGGGATAGGTGATATTTGATACATAAATGCCCTGCCTCTATTACCTTAGCTAGGGTCAAAGAAATACCTCAAACAAAAGTAAGGAAACGTGAGCTGATTAAGGTTTTCTTCAATGCACAAAGCTAAAGTTAACACAACTCAGTTTTTTATCTTCTATCTCGCTTTATCTCAAAGTCCTTTATAATATAATGCCATCCTACCAGAACATGTCTCTGCTCCTGTCCAAACTCCTGCTGTCCCCAATCATACCATATATACTCTTTTATTCCATTTCTATGTAGTATGTTTTCCTTCCATTCTAATGGCTATCTATATACTACTCAGTCTTCAAAATAAAGCTAGCTCATACCCCATTTTCACCACAGGACTGTCCTTTTCCGAATTGCTATGGCAATTATAGTTAACATCACAAAGTTTTAAAAATGATTGTTCTCCTATTGTTTAAGCAAGTTTTTGCCATGAAACCTGATTCATCAAGCATTCTTTAGTAGCTTCTCCAGCAATATCAAGCACGTAGGCCCCCAAATCCTTGGTATGTTCTTTGGTATATTGGGTTTCATTTTCATAAGAGGCCCAAATAAGAAGTATGCTCTGGCACTCTTGGGAAAGCTCAGAGGGGTGGAGGGAAAGGAAGGCACCTTCAGGTTCTCTCCATCAAGTATTTCCAGGAATCCATCATCCTTATCAGCCAGAGAGGTCAGAGGAGACTGTGGCAGGAAGAGAGGGAAGTAGTTTGCAAGTTCACTGTTATCCTTTTCATTGGTGGAAAACTATAAGATAATTCATGGATTTGGTGAAAAAAATTATAGATCAGGCCAAATGTTATTCCCTTCAATAGATCAAGGGGCACTTGGTCAAGACCTGGTGTTACCCTTGACACTTCTCCCCCCAAACCACCCCATCCAGTGAGTTGCCAGGTCTTAGTTGTTCTACCTCTCAAACCCAATTCCCTCCTTCTTTCCCTTTTTCTGTCAAGAGCACCACCATTCTTCCAGTCACCCAGGTTTTCAACTTTGAAGTTAGCCTCAAGTCTTGACTCTCATTCAGCCCCATGTCAAACCAGCTGTCAGGTCTTTTGATGCTACTTCAATTATTTTTCACCTACAACCTGTTCTCTCCACTCATACCACTACCCTAGTTCAGGCACTCTGGCCTAGACCAATCTCCCACCTCTACAAACTATTCTTTACATGGCCACCAAATTTATATTCCTAAACCACATCTGATCACATTCCCAAATGTTTTAGAATAAAATACCAACTCCTCGTTTGGCATTTGAAGCCTTTTACCATCTTGCTTCAGCCCCCTTTTCAAGGCTGATTACATATTCCCCTCCCCCATAATCCATATTGCAGACAAACCAGCCTACTTACTATCACCTATGTGTGACACTGCACCTGCCACCTCCATGTCTTTGCAGACATTCAATGCTTAGAAAGATTTCCCTTCTCCTCTCTACCTCTTCAAAGCCTCAGCTTCCTTCAAAACTTAGCTTGAACTGCTGTTTCCTCTGAGACATTTCTGGATTCCTGTCTTTTCCCAAATCACTTCCATTTTATATATGCCTTCTATTTGTTTATCTGTAAACATGTTGTATTCTTCCAGTAGAATGTAAGGTCCTTGGGAGTGGGGATTATGTGTCACTCTGCTGTTGTACATTTGGTGTTTAACAGCACCTGGCACATAGCAATAATGGATGTTTGTTGATTGCCTACTGGGTTGTCAATCAACCTCTGTGACCATCCTAGTTTAGGCCCATATTATTTCTCCTCCCAAATTATTCATTCAACAAATCTTATTTTAACCACCTCGTCACTGATCTCCTTGACTCCAGTCTCTGTTCTTTCTTTTTCTTGAAAGAACCACTGGTAGTTCCCCATTGCCTAATCTGGCTCCTTATTCCGCCCTTTCATGTACTAGGTTCCAGCCAAAGTGGATGACTTGTTTTTTCTTAGCCTTTTCCATCTCCATGCATACAAGCCTATCTATCCCTCCAGCCTAGAGTGAATTCCTAAAGCCCTACCTGTTGAAATCCTTCTCTTCCTTCAATGCCCAGTTCAGATGGTACTCTGAAGCCTTCCCTGGTCCTCCCAGCTAGAAGCGATTTCTTCCTCCCTGAATCTTTTATCCTTTGCTATTTGACATTTTCTATGGGATATCAACTTCTAACTTACATTACAGTTCATTGTGAAATAGATTCCTAAGAAGGGTATAAGCACCTTGAGGATGTGGTCAATGTTAATTTTTTATCTTTTTATCTCCAGAACTCAGCAGGAATTGAACAAGACACCCCTCTACCACCCATGCATTACTTGCAATGAACTATCTACCAAAGTGAATGTTCTGGGTCTAAATGACCCACTGAAATATTCCTATAGTAGAGAAGGGCAACTCAAGATTATTAATTTGACAGAAATGAGATAAAGAATTCTAGTTCTTGGGCCAGGTCTATTTCTCATTACAATACACATTTTATTTATAAATTGCCTTGTGTTGACATTAGCTCTCTAAAGGTACTGTAATCACCTCAGAACCAACTTTTAGCCCCAGTCTAAGACACCTAAACCCATTTCTTATCACAACCATTACAGAGGCATTATATTTCTAGGTGCTACCACTAAAGAACCATTACTCACAGGTAGATCAATCAGAGAGTATCTATAGATCATGAACTGTTTTCACAGTCTCTAAGAAACAGGATAGTTATGTAACACGTGATTCCTGTTAATGCCAAGTTCTAGGTCCAAAGCTTAGTGCTCTGGAAGAATCCAAACCCTTTGACTGCACAGATGGCCAAAGGGGCCAGCTCCAGGGAGTATGGTGCCTGTGGCTAAACGAGTCTCACTCTAACCAGTGGGAAAAGTACCAAGGGCCAGGACTTTAAGCTAACACTTGGGAAACTATCTTAGAACTAGTAGTACTTCCGACTAATAGCTGGGCAAGATATATAATCATGGTTGCTATTACTGACAGTTTGTTTAAGTATCAGACCTTGTAGGCAGATAGTTGACTGCAGAATGACTGGTAGGAGAGCTCTTACAAAAGAAACTACAGATGAGCCAGAGTCCTTGTCGTCCAAGAATACTATTTTCTGGGGAGAACGATGCCTTTATCACAAAACTATCAAAAGAGCCATCATTCAACTAAGAGGCACAATCCTGTAACAAACTAATTCATGAGGAAGTCTTGGCCAGAACTGGCAGCAGGCCTCGGATAAATGCAGACCCCTTTCCTTACCTCTGGCGTCCTAACCAAACCTCCACGTACAAGTCAGGTCTGCCTGGTAGTGTTATGAGTTTCAGCCACAAGATAGTCCCAGAACCTATAGGGTACACATATTCTCTGGAAAAGGCCCCAGAATTTCCCCATAACCGATAGAACTTGGGCAAGTCAAAGCAAAGAAGACATACCATTTGAGCGGGGGCCGAATTCTGCCTTTGGGTGAAGACATCTTTGACCTCTCCAAGTCCATGAAGAGGGCCACGGGGTACAGGTCTTGTTGGCTTCTTAAACTCAAAGACCTCCTGCAGGACAGCATGACTGATTTTAATACCCTTCCTACCACCTTACATGTTTGTCTCATAAATTCAGATATAGGTCAGGTGAGATATATCACAACTACTTCAAAATTAAAAGTTCAGATTTTATTACAAGAAAGATATTTGTGGAACCAAAAGATATCAGTGTCATCACTGATGAACAAAAGAATTTGCATAGTTCCCTAGCATTTACAGTGATGAGATCAGGTCTATCAAGACTGCCTCATCTTGTTTCCAAGTATCTTTTTAAAGAAGAAGCAAAGCTTCTCAAATTATTTTTACATTTTGTTACTGAGTTTTCTCTCTAACTGCCCATTTGCTAGGCATGAGCATGGCAGATGAATCACAACACTTCTTAAATAAGTCTCCAAGGTAAGACTGCCTGAGTCAGAGACCAGGTGTCCCTGGCAAAGGCTGTCCAGGAAACAGAATACTCACTACATATAACAAACAGGGCAATTAAGTGGTATGAGACACTGCCTCTGAGAAACAATCTTATCTGGAGGGACAAAACACATACTGATTAGTGTAGCACCTCTGGCAAAATTAACATAGGTTCCAAATGAATCATAGAGTAGAAAAGGAAGAGAGATAACTGTGCTCCTGTTGTGTCCTTTCTCTTTGTTTCCATCGTAGTAATGCTTCATGGAATTCATGAAGGATTTCAGCTTGGCCATAAAGAATGTTCGCTTAAAAGCTGCACTGATAAATAATCAGGGATTACCAGATAGGAATATATGCTCAGAGGACCATAAGAACTACTTATCTAGAGTGGATGTATTGGGGAATGTAGGAAGTAGGTTTAGAAAGGCAGGATTGGGTCAGATGGTAGAGGGCCTTGCTGTCAAGGGAATTTGAACTTTGGGAAATACCTCTGGACTTGGACTATTATAAGACAACCATTCATAAGATGGAGGGAAATATAGTTAGTCTTTCACAACATGACTATTATGGAAGTGTTTTGCATGACGAAACATGTACGACCTATATCAAATTGCTTGCCTTTTCAACAAAGGTGGGTGAAAAGGGAGAAAAAGGGAGAGAATTTGGAACTCAATGTTAAAAATTGTTTTTACATGCGACTGGGAAATAAGATATATGGGTAAAGGGGTACAGAAATCTATCCTGCCCTACAGGAAAATAGAAGGGAAAGGGGATAAGAGAAGGGGGTGGGGGAGGAATGATAGAAGGGAGGGCAGATTGGGGGAAGGTGTATTTAGAATAGATGCCATCTTGGGGTGGGGAGACGGGCGAGATGGGGAGAAATCTGGATCTCAAAATCTTGTGGAAGCCAATGCCAAAAAAGAAAAACAAACAAATAAATTAATAATAATAAAAAAATAAGATGACCATTCCTATATCTGAGCTCTAACTGGGTTCATTCACCTTGTTTTCCCCAATTCTGTGAAGGGGATATTGTCTTGAGGTTTTGGCAATTACCTTCAAGGCAATTTGTTATTATTTTGCCTTGGCCAAAAATTTAAGTCTCCCACAAGTTACTAATCCTCTTTGCTTTCATCTCTGACTTAAAGCCATACTCACATTTTCCTTGTTATCATCATGGTCACTTAGCTGAAAGATATCACAGTCAAATGAATCAAAATGGCTTCTCTTTAGGGCAGGGCTGCACCCTAGGAGCTTCTGCTGTCAAGGTGACAAGAATAAATTGGACATCAGTTGGGTAATGGATACTTCAGTAAAGTTCTCCTTATTTAATTCAGCTATTCAAAGAAAAGCATAGCTAACTAGAAACAATCTAAGCAGTTATCCCATAATCTTTAGGCAGCTATCAGGGGAAAATATATATATAATATACATATATATACGAAAATTAATCAATTTCTTTCTCTCCATGTTTTTATCAAAACATAGTTGGTAATACTTGGTAATAACCCTCCCAGAGCTGTCTACTTGGACAAATCAAGGTATTATAATATTGGAAAAGAGAAATCACCTCTGGTTTGAGCTAGAACATTTATTGATATAAAAACTGAATATTTTTTGATAGAATAAATAGAATAAAGATAGAAGTAAAAAAGGGCTAAGACTTATGGGTTTACCTCTATTGAAGATTTCTTAGATGAGAGGTTCCTATTTCTCTTTATGGGAGCTTGATTTACCATCTGCAAGCACTTATTTGCAGTGAAATTTGTAACACTTACTGTCACTTCTTTCCCAACAAAATCTTCTTGGTGGACACAACAAGATTTAAGCCCAGAGTCAGTAATACTGAAGAAAAGGAAAAGAACTTACTGGCAGGGAGTTTATTCTCCTCATGGGTTTTTCAAGGCTGCAATAAGAACAGAGCAAATGAAGGCATGGTCAGGTTAGCTAAGTAATTCAACATTGATTGGCAACCTATTCTTTCCTTTTAGGCAAACCCACTTACCTAAATGTCTAAGGAAAGAGAACACCATTTTCCCAAATTCACCCAACCCAAAATACCTTAAGCTTCTAGGGAAAGTGCTGGGCTCACACAAAATATTCTCTTAAACACACTCCCATAAGGCTGGGGTTTTAAACCTTATGTGTTACAGACTACTTCTGCAAACTGGTGAAGATTATGAACTCTCTTTCAAAATGTTTTGACATGCATAAAATAAATGACATAGGATTTCAAAGGTAATCAATTATACTGAAATAGTTTAACCAGATATTTCTAAAATTCATGGATCCCAGGTTTTGAACTCCTGCCTTAAGGCAAGAATTATGTGATGGGGCAGGAACATGACAGATTTGAACACTTACACTTAAAACTAAAGTAAGTTGGTGTGTTATCTAAAACAAGAGTACTACAGCAACAGCACTGATGTGGGAGATCTTAGTCCATGTCCCTAGCCAGTCAGGGTCCTAATAACATTCCCATTTGATATTTCAAAAAAAATTAAAAGAAGCAAATACATACTTTTCTTTTCTATCCAGGGGCCCAGGAGAATCCAGACAAAAACCTGTTGGGATAGGGAAAAAAGTCTTTACCACATGGCCACTGTGATTCAGCTGTTCTATAAGTCATTATTACAATACCTTAATTCCTTCTATTATTAACTCTGAACATCTCTTTAGGGCATGTGGCAGCACTTTGCATCTATTCTAATAGCTAGCATTTCTACAGGGCAAGTTTGCAAAGCACTGTACATGTTATCTCACAACCCTGGGAGGTAAATGCTATTATTATCACCTCCATTTTACAGATAAAGACACTGAGGCAGACAGAGATTAAGTGACTTGCTCACTAGCAAGTACCTGAGGCAAGACTTGAATTCAGGTCTTCCTGACCCCAGGTCCAGAGCTCTATCACTTCATCACCTAGCTGCCTCTGAAGGAGACATAATGCTTTCCTCTGCTCTGGAGTTACCATCAGTGAAACGAGACTTAAGGGAAAAATTGTAGGCTAGGCGAATTGTTAAAGCCATCTTCTGATTATTTAGGAATGGATTATCTGGTTTATGGTTAATATCCACGTCATCTCCCTCCCAGATGGCAAGTACTAAGTCAGCGCTGCTGCAAGTAGACTACATCTGGTCAAACAGCACAAGTCTTTAATTCAGATCAATTTATCCATGGGTAGCAGAAACAAACACTAATTAGAGCCACTGTGAAGAGATTTGGTAGGGTCCTGACTTCATGTCTAAAAAAAGGAAACCAACAAGAAATTCCTGCTCCCCAAAGGCAGAAGTTTTAATCTAGTTTACATGCCAACCTTGAAGTAGCCTAGACTCACCACCTCCCAGCCAACTTTTATTTTCTGGCCATTCAGTCACAATGGAATAGGCATAGTCTAAAACCAACACCTACCCTCAAACCACTTCTCACTTCCCATTCCCCTTCCAAGTGGGAAGATAACCAAGAAAACCACACACGCTGGTAATTTGAAAGGAATTAACCTTTTCTCCAAGTACTCTTCTATATATTCCCCTACTTCATCCAAATGGGCCATTTACTCTTCCTTGGACATATCTTGTCCTCTCCTACCTTCCCTGAACATTCAACAAGCCTTTGATCACCCCATTCATTCTTTGTCTAGAAGGCCACTCTGCTCCAATCTCTATTTCTTCCTACTGAAAATTAACCTGTTCTCAGATACTGCTTTTATAACCCCCAATCTTCTCTGCAGGAACAAATCCCTCCCCCTTGGTATTTCAGTAATATATCCATTATTATACTTCACATAAGTAATAATTCATATTATACTATCTCTATGGTACTTATCACATACTGCCTTACCCTTCAATTATTTATGTACATGTCATACCTCCTCTATTAAACTAGAAGCTTCTTGAAAAGGAGAGGGGCTTGTTACGTCATCTGTCCTTCACAAGGCCTACCCCAGCACAATGGGCACATATAACAAATATTTGTTGAGTCAAAACAAAAGGACACCTGAATCTGTAGACTCTGAGGAGCTTGTCCGCTGGAGGCTGCTGCTGTTCTTCATTTCCAGCTGATGCTCACATTCACTGTAAACAAAACCATACAATTCTTTATATGAAGTTTTGGAATCTGGCAACAAGCAAAACTCCTCTTCTTCATGGACTGTGGGTTATCAGTGAGACAGAGGCAAAATATCAAACTATTTAAAGCCTTTTTTGGCCCCACCTGATGTCCTACAAGGGCCACCCTCCTGCCAATCACAATTCCTTAACAGAATGAGTAGGGGTTGGCCAATAAGTCCCCAGTATAGCACCTAAGGCCCAGTGGAATTCAGAGCTCTTAAGAATACCACCCAAGGTTCCCTGGACCCTCCACCTCCAAGGAGAATACCTCCTTACTCTTGTGGAGTTTTATGTTTATTTGGGGGAATTTAGAACAAGGTTACAATGGGAAAACAGCATTCCAGAAATTGATAGGAGTCAAAAGGCAAGGAAAACAAGAGGATGCACATAATTAGTAAGAGACCAGGTTGCAAGAAAAGCCTTCAATTTAGCCCTCCTCCAAAACATTCCTCAGACCTACTAAAGCACTGTGTGAGGGAAGGGGGCCACTCAGGCCCATAGTAAAATGGAGGCAAGGGGACCGACCCTGGGCCACATGCTAAGGAATTGTGGTTAATTCACAGGCCAACTCACCATATGCCTAAAAAAAGAAAAGGAAATGGAATGCTTACATTGGAAGAGCTATTCCCACTGGAGATCCTGTTCAAGGGTTGTAGAGTGAGTGAGTAGGAAGGCAGGAGATTCAAGGATTTCAGAATATGGGAAAGTTGGGGAGAAAACTAGACCTGGTAGAAATGAATAGGTGTGAGGGAGACAGTGAGAATGGAACATGACCTGAGTAGGAAGTGGTGAGAATAAGACCCAGGCACAGTTGGTGATGGGAGAATGAGAAGGAAAGTTTAGATGGTATGTACTTGGGGACAGCAGTGGGCTGAATGAAGAAGAGAGGGGAAATGGAAGAAATGGGGAACAGGATGGAGGAGATTGGAGAAGAATGTATATTGTTGGGGGACTGTATAGTCTGAAGTATGGTGCATATGATGGCAGAAAGAATAAGAAAGGAATGTGGAAGTAATGGACAGGGGGCTGAAAATAAGAAAGGATGTCAGGGTGTGCTTGTGCAGGTGGAGTACATTGTACAGAAAAAGGGAGAACATATGGGGGGGGTTATGAAGATCAGGATTTACCTGGCAATGGAAAGGAGGCAAGGTGTGTTGGGACAGAATGTATGTGGGGGATGGGGGCCTGATGGATTAGGATCACAGATTTGGAACTAAAAGGAATCCTGGGAGATCATCCAGTCCAATCCTCTCATTTTACAGATGAGAAAAATGAGGCTCAAAAAGGGCAGTGACTTGCCCAAGGTCACAGAGCTACTGAGGAGCTGAATCAGAACTGAAAAATCGGCCTGTGATTCTAAAACTGAACTCTTGGCACTATCCCAGGGGCCTCAACCCATAGGCTTCAACAGAGGACACATGGTGATGGGGTGAGGGGTGCATGGAGAGAAAGAGGGACCCTGGGTGTACTAGGGGTGGGAGGGGAGGGCCGATGGAAGCTGGGAGAGAATGTTGGGGTACAGAGCAGGAAGGAAAGGGGGGACAGGTTCGGGGAGGTGGGCTGGAGGGGGTGCACATGGGACAAGGGGCAAGAACAAAACCAGAGTGAACTTGGGGGGGGGGGCTAAGGTAACTTGGCCTTGGGAGAGGGGATCCAGGCACATGGAGCGGGCCGACAGAAGGGAGGTTTCCCTAGGCTCGGGGCAGGGGCGCCCCCTGAGCTGCGGGGAAGGTCCCGGGAGGAAAAGCCCAAGGCCGCCCCACTCTCCCTCTCACCTGCCCAGACCCCGAAGCTGGTCCATGGTGACTGCGAGGTTGGTGACCGGGGAAAGCCCCCCGGGGCCAGCCGGGAACAGGGCCTTGACGACGGCGGGCGGCGAACTGCAGGCGAAGTGGAGGCGACGGCGGTGCGGGTGCTCCGGGCCCAGGTCCATCCGGAGCAGCGGCGGCGGCGCCGCCTCTCGTTCTCTCCCTCGCCTCCAGGTGGGTCGCCCGCCCGCCCGCCTCGTCCCGCGCAGCGCTGCCCCCCACCGCCTCCCGGAGCGCGGCGCGGCGCGCGGACCTGGTCACCCGCGGGTCAAACACAAACACGACCCCGAGGTTCAGGGACGCGGGCGCCACGGAGAAGCGGGGCGGGCGGTTCCCTCAGGCAGCGAACGAACGATGCCCACACGCAAGGGGTTCCAGGGCCGCGCGGGCAGGCTCCGCCAACCTGAGGATTAAACCCAAACAAAACGGGGCGGGCGCAGGGGTGGAAAGGAAGGACGGGGTGGAGGGGGGCAGGTTGATAACGTCAAGCTGGGGACGCAAGCCTGAGCCGTCTTCTTTCAACTCAATCAGCCCAGATACGGTGGCGGCAGAGAGCGGGGAGTGGGAGCGCACCAGTGTCCAGCAGACCTCCTGCCCCAGCTGCTCGGGTGTTTCGCAGTAGCCGCTAGCAGAGTACCGCTGCTGCCCCGCCCACCTTTCCTAGTTGGCGCCAAACCCAGGGCACCAATCAGAAAACGGGACCTCCGTCCCACCCCCTGAAGGGCAGCGAGGCCTAACCAATAAGAATGCAAGGAGGGAAGACTGTCGGAGAACTGCTCCATCACTAGGCCTCTCGAGAGGAGGCGGAGCCAAGATCGAGAAGCGGAAGTGGGGATGGGGGAAGGGCAAACAGGGGGAAGGAGAAAGAGATCCAATGGATGGAAGCGGTGGTCTCCCAGCATGCCACGCAAGCTACCCAAAGGATCCGGCGGAACTAACACTGCATTCTGGGAATTGTAGTTTCTAATGGCAGCTGCCCCTCCCCCCGCCCCGTCTCACTGGGTGTCTAGAAGCTTTGTTTCAAAACTGGCCTAAAGATGTTTTGCTCTTAGATTAAAGTGGCTGGAAAGATGGAGGGTGGGGGGCATCTCTTTCTTTATTCACTCGCCCTCATGCAAAAATAAATGTCCCTTCTTTTGGTCACAGGTCCTTCTGCAAGAATGAATGAATGAATGAATGAATGAATGAATGAATGAATGAATGAAAAATGAAAAAAACATATAAGAACAATCATTCACTCAAAAGCTTAAATGGACCCATTAGGCCTTGGATCACACAGGAATGAGTACTGTATAGCCTTCTCCTCCCCCTTTCCTCTGCAGCCTAGCAGCTGAAGAAGAATTCAGACTATGCTTTGAATAGAGATAAAGTTCTCCAAAAGCAGAAGCAAGGTTTAAGCCCTCAGGGAGGGGAGATCTCCTAAGACATCAAACAAAGTGGAAAGAGTCCATTGATACATCTAGAAAACAAGCAAATGCCAAAGCATAGCCCAAAGAATCTCTGAACTGGAGAAGGCCTAACTTATTTAGGGGAGGGGAGCTAAATTGTGAGCCACTTCTCCAAGAATGGAGAACTTAAAATATCCTGAGGCCTACTGACTCTCCATTTGTAAAACAAAAGTAAAATGCTTGCCTTCTTAGTTTCTCTCCCCCAACCCTGGGCCTGAGTTTCCACATTGTAGAGTTTGTTTTTTTTAATAGAATAAAGAGTCTAGAGGGACCTCATAATTTAGTGGAATAAACATCAGATTTGGAGTCTCAGCACCCAGGTTTGAATCTGGCTCTGCCACTTAAGTGTCTGTGTTAAATCAGTAAACATTTATTAAGCGCCTACTATATGGTGGATAGAGCTCTGGGCCTGGAGTCAGGAAGACCTGTGTTCAAATCTGCTTTCAGAAACTTAGTAGTTGTGTGACCCTGGGCAATTAACCTCTGCTTGCCTTAGTCCATTAGAGAAGAAAATAATAACCACTCTAGTATGTTTGCCAAGAAAATCCCATGGACGGAGTTGTCCACAGGGGTCCAGAGGGTCACTAAGAGTTGGACATGACAACAACAACATGTGCCAGGCACTGTGTTAAGGGCTGGAGATACAAAGAAAGATAAAGGACAATCTCTGTTCTCAAAGAGCTCAGTTTAATGGTAGAGACATTGTGCAAACAACTATAGTATATGCAAATAAGAACTGCAGGACAAATAGGAGATAATATCAGAGGGAAGATGCTAGAATTATGGGGGGTACCTGTAAAGGCTTCATGCAAAAGGTGGGATTTTAGGTGAGGCCTGAAGGAAGCCAGGGAAGCCAGGAGATGGAGCCTAGGACAAAGAGAGTTCCAGACAGTGGGCACAGTCAGTGAAAATGGCTGAGTCTTATGGTAGGAACAGCAAGGAAGCCAGTGTCAATGGATTATAGAATAAATAGAGAGAACTAAGACTGGGTTATAAAGGGTTTTAAGAGCCCGGCAGAAGATTTTATATTTGATCTTGGAGGTGATAGGGAGCCGCTGGAATTTATTGAATTGGTCGTGTATGTGTGTATAGAGGGAGGGGTATGTGGTCAGAGCTGTTCTTTAGGAAGATTACTTTGGAAGTTGAATGGAGGATGAAAACTGAGGCTGGGAGACCAACCGGCAGGCTACTGCAGTAGTCCAGCCATGAGGTAATGAGGGCTTGCACCAGGGTGGTGGCCGTATTAGAGGACAGAAGGGGATATGTACAAGAGATCATAAAGGTAGAATAGATAGGAGTTGGCAACAGATGGAATACAAAATGTGAGAGAGTGAGTAATGAAGACAACATCTAGGCTTTTTGTGAGCTTGGGTGATTGGGGAGTACCCTTTAAAGTAATCGGGTAGTAATGTTAATTTATAGTAATAGGAAAGTTAGGAAAAGGGGAGGGTTTTGGAAAAAAGATAATGAATTCAGTTTTAGACATGTCGAGTTTAAGATACCTACAGGACATCTAGATGTCCAATAGGCATTTAGAAAAGGGAGACTAGAAGTCAGGACGGAGGTTAGGGCTGCGTAAATAAATCTGAGAATCATCTGCATAGAGACAATTGAGTCTATGAGAGTTGATGAGATCTTTGAGAGAAATAGCATAGAGAGAGAAGAGGACTCAGGATAGAGCCCTGGGGGATATCTAGTTATTGGGCAAAACAGAAAAAAAATCAATAAAAATTCATTTAAAAAATAAAACTTTAGCTTTGAACATGATGAGTTTAAGGTGTTTAAGGAATATCTAGTTCAAGACATGATCAGATAATTACAAAGGTCTTTCCAGATCTTAATCCTATGATCCTATCAATATAGGTTCAAGAGGGAAAGGGTCAATAAACATTTATCTAGTTCCCATTATGGAAATAGTGTTGCCTTAAAGTCATCTAGTCTAGTGGTTCCTGTTTCCCATGTACTGGTTTGTGTCCCCGTTGTAACTTCTTTAATGGCACCATAAGCAGTTAATAATTGCCCAGTTATATTACAAATATATTTTTCCTTTGTAATAACAAATATGTGCATGTTTGAAACATTGTGGGTTTGTTTTTGTAGCAATTAGAAACTGTCATGCTCAAATCCCAAAGACTCAAATAAAAAGTTAGTTGAAACAATTAATTTTAGCAAAGTAGCAGGTTGTAAAGTAAATCCACGTGAATCAATAGCATTTCTGTATGTCACAAACAAAATTCTGCAAGAAGATAAAGTAAAAAATACTCCATTTAAAATAATTCTAGAGTCTAGGGTCTAGGCATAGTATACCTAGACAGGGAGTACACCTGCCAAAACAAACCTAGGAACTATATAAACAAAATTATAAAAAAACTTTTTATACAAATAAAATCAGGTTTAAATAATTGGAAAAATATTAATTGTTCATGGGTAGGCCAGGCCAATATAATAAAAATGACAATTTTACTAAAACTAATTTATATATTCAATGCCATCCCAATTAAAGTACCAAAAGTTTTTTTTTTTTACTAAATTAGAAAAAATGATAACAAAATTCATTTGGAAAAACAAAAAGTCAAGAGTATCAAAGAAAATAATGAAAAAAAAATGTAAAGGAAGGAAGGTTAGCAGCACCAGATCTTAAACTATATTATAAGGCAGTAATTATCAAAACTATCTGGTACTGGCTAAGAAATAGAAAGGTAGATCAATGGAATAAAGTAGACAAACAATTTACTGCAGGAAATAAACACAATAACCTTGTATTTAACAAATATAAAGACTTAAGATTTTGGGATAAGAATTCATTATTTGGTAAACATTGTTGGGAAAATTGAAAAGCAGTGGGGTGGAAACTGGGCATAGACCAATGTCTTACACTACTTACCAAGATAAGGCCAAAATGGATATGTAACCTAGACATAAAGACAGATTTGACGAGAAAATTAGAAGAACATGGAACATATTACTTATCAGATTTATGGATAGGTGAATAATTTATGAGTAAACAAGAGATAGAGAGGTAGGTATAAAATGGATAATTTTGATTACATGAAATTAAAAAGTTTTTGTACAAATAAAACAAATATAGCCAAGATCAGAAGGAAAGCAGAAAATTGGGAAAAAAATTTATAAACAGTTTATCAGATAAAGGTCTCATAGCTAAATATATATAAAGAACTTTGTCAAATACATAAGAATATGAACCATTCCCCAGTTGATAAGTGGTCAAAGGATAAGAACAGGCAGTTTTCTGATGAAGAAATCAAAACAATTTATAGTCATATGACAAAATGCTCTAAATCGTTATCGATTAGAGAAATGTAAATTAAAAAAACTTCATTTTATACCTACTAGATTGGCTAAAATATATAAATATAATATATTATAAATATTATAATATTATAAATTCCTCACATATAAATACCCACGTTCCTCAAATTTACAAATTAAAGGACATATGAGAAATTTGGGTATTTATAATAGTCAAAATAACTTATTCACTAAAAGTCATTCTTAATACAATATTGTTATTACTATGTATAGTGTTCTCTTGGTTCTGTTCATTGCATTCTTTATCCAGAGAAAGAACTGATAATTAGAAGTATCCTAGAATAATTTTACATATATATATGTATATATATGTATATATATGTATGTGTGTATATATATATATATATATATATATATATATATATATATATATATATATATGTTCCTATTCGTGTCTAATGGTACCCATCTCTGGGGGGGAGGGAAGGAAAAA